TATAAGTTTTGTTATGTGTATTTTACCACAGATTAAATTTTTTTAATTAACATTTTTTTTCTTACTTAGTTTGATGGTGGAACTAAGAATAGCCTTCTATGATTCTCTCCAGTCCTTAAGTACCCAGTGATGGCAGATGCAATGAAGCTGTCAGGGCATTTCAAGGCCCTTTTAATGAATTCCACAACCTATCCCACCCTCCTGCACACCAAATTTGGTCCATGAAGGAAGGCTCTTTCTTCAACATTTCCACCTCTCAGCCAAGGCTGGGAAGAGAGCTTCCACTCCACATTCTGGCCATATATATATATATATATATATATATATATATATATGCACTGAACCTGATTGGTGAGAGATGACATTCACAAGGCATGGTTCACTGGCAGACAAGGTCCTGAGTGAGAGTTAACTGCACCTGTCCTTCTCTTTGTACAGTTAGGCAGACCAAGCCCACCCACTCCAGCAATCCATAATTATCTCTCCACTCCACCTCCTCTGCCAGTGACTGGGTATAAGTCAGATTAGCCTTGTGGAATAGACCTGGCTGGATTTGGGTGTGGGGAAATAAAGAGGAGGCTGCCCTGTGAACTGGACTTAGAACACTACTGGGCCCTTGCCCAGCCCAGGACGAAAGTGACACTTTGATCCCCATCTGGGTCTTAATTTCTTGGGCCTCTTCTATCTTAGACTTTCCACTGGTGCTGGTAGGGGGGAGGAAGAAAGAAAAAGAGGAAAAAGGAAGGAAGGAAGGAAGGAAGGAAGGAAGGAAGGAAGGAAGGAAGGAAGGAAGGAAGGAAGGGAGGGAGGGAGGGAGGGAGGGAGGGAGGAAGGGAGGGAGGAGAAGGGAGGGAGGAGAAGGGAGGGAGGGAGGGAAGGGAGGAGAAGGGAGGGAGGGAGGGAAGGAGGAGAAGGGAGGGAGGGAGGGAAGGAGGAGAAGGGAAGGAGTGGGAAGAGATGGGATGGGAAGGGAAGGGAAGGGAAGGGAAGGGAAGGGAAGGGAAGGGAAGGGGTACCAGATTAACAAGAGGAAATAAACATGCAGCACCATGTATCAGTGGGAGAAACCTAAATGAAGAGTAACTAAAAGCAATGGCTTAGAACTTCAGCTTACATAGCATTTTTCAACCAAAAATGATGAATTTCTAGAGAAGTGACAGTACAAAGGAAAGCCATTTTAGGCTTCCAAGGATGGAAAACTTTGGGAAGGTAAATATATGGGGGGAAACTAATGAAGTAAGCTGTGTTTACAGATTCCTCTGGTGTCTCTGGAATAATATGAGTCTCCAGTAAAATAATTTATACTATGATTTTAGGCACCCCCAAAAAGGGGGGGCAGTATTTCCTACATTTTCTGCTTCTTAAGTGTTTTCAGCTCAAAATAATTTTTCTGTCAAAGAGGAATGTTTTGCTTCACAGGCCAGCACTCAACCACTGAGCCACACCAGCCAGGGCTAAAAGAGGCATATTTTTAGAATGATATATTCTCATTTCCTTCACAGAAAAGGGAACAGCAAAGAAAGGGTATAGGTTAAGGGTTTCATTATGGCCAAATTGAATATATTTTGCTTTATACAAAACTCACTGCCCTGTTTCTTTGTTTTTCATTTTATCTAAACTGATGAAAATTTCCTGTCACCAATCCCTGAACTTGCCTGTGAGGAACATTTGAGGAGTATTCCTCAGAAGTCCTTTTTCACTCTAAAATGTTGTGCTGCTCATCCTGTTGCTTCTGTTTCCATGACTCCTCCCAGAACCCCAGAAATTGAAAAGGTAATAGAAGACTGGAGTGAAAACCAGGATTCAGCTCCACACAGAATGCTTTGTACAGATAGAAACTTGACATACAAAAATAAGATAAAATAAGGTCTTATATCCTGTGCCAGGTGATCCATGAACTCACTGGACCTGAAGTTCAACCTGTTTATCTATATCCAGGGTCTGCCTGGACTGGGATGTTCCTATGCAGATGGGAAAAAATGCCGGACAGCTCTGTGACACACTGCACCAAAAGTGACTACCCAGTTTGTTTTTACTTCATGAGGCTGCTTACAAATTGAGGTTTCTCTTTGCATTAGTATTCATTTATTTATTAAAGTGAAATTATCATATCTCCCTCATTTTTATCTTGCTAGGACTAGAGCTCAAAGTTGCATTAAACTGCCTTCACTTCATGTTGTTCTCCAGGTATCTGGGCTCATCAGAACTCATATATTTCTCTGAGAATTATTAGTTCATTCTCTCTACCATGTTCCCAAGCAGAGGAAGAGTGAGAGTTCTGTGCCCCACCCCCACATAAAAAGCCATTTTCTCGGGCTTCTGGTCAAAATGGAGACATAAGTAGACATGCCTCACCTCATTACACAACCATAAGAAGGAACACAACCAACTTAAAAATGAAAAAACCCAGAACTGCCAAAAAAAAAAAAAAAACACCCAGCAAAACACCCAGAACTGTATGAGAATCCAACAACAAAGGATTTAAAGGAGCTATATTCATCCAGATAGATAAGAGGGGCAGAGAGGACTCAGTGTGGCAGCAGTGAGCTTGGGACAAAGAGGCAGCAGTGGCCAGTGGAGCAGGCAGCCCCACATTCACATGTGGTGGATAAAAACCAGGGAGACATCTTGTAAGTAAGCGAGCCCAGCCCCAGGCCAGACTGTGCAGCCCAGGGCTCCAAAGCAGGGAAAAAGAAAGCCTCATAACTTCTGGCTGTAAACCCAGTGGGGGTTGGGATGGTGGAAGACACTGCCAGAGAGCCCAGAAGTACACAAATCCACCCACCCTGGGAACCACAACCAGGACAATAGCTGAAGGGGCACCAGTTGCACACAGGAAGTGGGTGAAGCGACTGGAAATGGGGCAAGGACCAGGTAAGTCCCTAGAAGTCAGCCAGCAGTGGCACTGCCACCTCTTTGACCCCTCCCACACACACAGAGCCACAGTTGCCCTGCCCTGGTGAATACCCAAGGCTCTACCCCATATGACTTAACAGGTGCACTAAAATGGAATCAGAGAGGCTCTACCTAATACATAGACACAGGGGGGCTGCTAAAATCAGGAGACAAAGAAATATGGCCCAAATGGAGGAATAGAACAGAACCCCAGAAAAAGAACCAAGTGATGCAGAGATAGCCAACCTGTCAGATGCAGAATTCAAAACACTTGTGGTCGGCATGCTCAAAGCTCTCACTGAATATGGCAAAAGCATAAGGGAAGAAATGAAAGCTCTACTGAGGGAAATAAAGAAAAATCCACAGGAAACCATCAGTAAAGGGAAGGAAGCCAGGATTCAAATCAATGATTTGGAACATAAAGAAGAAATAAATATTCAACCAAAACAAAATGAAGAAACAAGAATTCAAAAAAATGAGGAGGGTTTAAGAAGACTCTGGGACATCTCCAAAAGGGCCAACATCTGATGCCAGAAGGAAAAGAGGAGGATCAAGAAATTGAAAACTTGTTTGAAGAAATAATGAAAGAAAACTTCTCAAATTTGGCAAAGAAAATAGACATACAAACCCAGGAAGCACAGAGAGACTCAAACAAGTTGGACCCAAAGAGGTCCACATGAAGACACATCATAATTAAAATGTCAAAGATTAAAGATAAAGAGAGAATCTTAAAAGCAGCAAAAGAAAGACAGAGAGTCACTTACAAAGGAGTTCCCATAAGACTATCAGCTGATTTCTCAGAAAAAACTTTGTGGGCAAGAAGGGATTGGAAGGAATTAGTCAAAGTGATGAAAAGGAAGTACCTACATCCAAGATGACTCTAACCAGCAAAGGTATCATTTAGAATTGAAGGACAGATAAAGCGCTTCTCAACAAGGAAAGCTAAAGGAGTTCATCATCACCAAATCCTTATTACATAAAATGTTAAAAGGACTTATTTAGGAAAAAGAAGATCAAAACTATGAACATTAAAATGACAACCAACACAACTATCAACGACCAAATCTTAAAAACAAAAACAAACAAAGCAAACAACTAGAACAGGAATAGAATCATAGATAATGGAGATCATTTGGAGGGTTATCAGCTGGAAAAAAAGAAGGGGGAGAATGGTGGAAACGTTTCAGGGATTTAGAGGCATAATTGGTTAGGTACAGAACAGACAGGGAGATGTTAAGAACAGTAAAGGCCATGGAGAAGCCAAAGAATTCACATGCATAACCCATGGACACAAACTAAGGGTGGGGTGCGGGGAGGTTGCTGGAGGAAATGGGCGTACCTGAAGGAGAGGGGCAAAGGGGGAAAAACTGGGACAACTGTAATGGCACAATCAATAAAATATACTTTTTTTTTAAGAAAAACCATTTTCTCTTTCCAAGCCAACAGTGACATGTCCTAGATTGTTCTAAAAGGAGCAGCTGCACTCGAACATATAAGAACAGATGACTCAAAGACTCCCTGACAACTACACATAATGACAAATGCCGAGGCGGAACATCTGTATTCTGAGTCACTCCATGTTTCTAGAAAGGAGGTCATTAGCCCTCCTGCTGCATAAACCCTTCTGATCTTCCAGCAGGTTCCAGAACTCGTCCACAGTGTGCTGTATCCTGAGACTGCAGCCAGCCCCCTCTCTACTCTCACACAAACTCAACATATTTTGAAGTCATCTTAATTATCAACTGCCTGCAGCCAGGAGTTTTAAAGTCTACGTTTTGAATAATGACTATGCAAAAGCAATGTGTGTGTATGTTTAGCAGAGAGAAGGAAGTAAATAACCTTTAAAATCCCATTAATGGTTTCTGTTCCTCTCGTACCTAGAATGATACAAATTTAGAGATACCACCTTTTGTGGGAAAACATCCTAGGAAAAAGTGAAAAGGGAAGCAGATTTTTTTTCTAGAAAACTATAAAAACAATTATTCCAAAGGAGCTGGTTGAGGCTTTTTGATTAATGAGTAACGAAAAGATGCTGACAAAAGAAAAGCAGAGCATTGATGAATGAAATTGAAAGTTAAGGCAGCTTTTGCATCTCAGCCACCAACATGCCATCCAGACTGAGGGAGACCCAGAAGCTTCAGGGCCATGTGAGCCACAGCCATGGCCACTTGGGAAAGTACAAGAAGCACCTGGGAGGTCAAGGTAATGCTGGTGGCTTGCATCATCACAGGATCAACTTTGACAAATATCGCCCAGGTCACTTTGGGAAAGTTGGTATGAGGCATTTCCACTTAAAAAGGAACCAGAGCTTCTGCCCCGCTGTCGACCTGGATAAACCGTGGACCTTGGTCAGTGAGCAGACATGGGTAAACACCGTCAAAAACAAGACCGGAGCGGCTCCCGTCATTGATGTGGTACGATCGGTCTACTCCAAAGTTCTGGGGAAGGGAACGCTCCCCAAATGGCCTGTCCTTGTGAAGGCCACATTCTTCAGCAGAAGAGCTGAGAAGATTAAGAGTGTTGGTGGGGCCTGTGTGCCGGTAGCTTGAAGCCACACTGAGGGAAATTCATTAAATGCTCCCAAGTGCTTTTGTCTTCTGGTGTGAGTGCAGGTTCTTTGGCACCTCTCTCTACCAGTGTGTCAGAAACCTGCAGGTTCTAGGAGTTAAAGATATCAGGACCTGGGCTCCTCTGCCAACTGCCCTGAGAAAGAAAATGTGCAAGAGTTAGCACCAACACTTAGAGACCTTGGTCTGTCACCTGACTTGAACTTCTCATTTATACAGGTAAAATGATAGCTGTTGGTGATATGTGTAGATAAATATAAAATAGTTGAAAGGCCAAGAAAAAAAAAGTTAAGGCAGAGCCAAGTTCACCAACGTGTTTTTCGGAGTTCCTGTTTCTTCTTGTGTAACTCCTATGGAGAAATTTCATTGTTTATATGGAGACATGTAAACATATCCGCTGACTTAACAAAACACAGGTTTTCATTCCTCACCCTTCCCCTCCCCGCCCCCCCCCCCCCGGCAGCCATGGCAAATAGTCTGACATTTGGGCTCACAGCCTTGGTGTTGATCAGAGGTTCAATTTCGGCCATTCACAGCTGTGTGTCTTAGGACAACCTTCCTAACCTAAGTCCCAGTTTCTGCACCTGTACGATGAGGATAATAGCCTGCCCACCTGTGTCAAAGGGCAGTTGTAAGTGATCATGAAATAATGCAGGTAACCGCCACGGTACAGCTCCTGGCACACAAAACGTGCTCAGTGGCTCTTGTTGTAGAACCAGCTGGCAGTTTATTGTTGTCAATTCATCTAAATAAAAACTCACACTTATGAACACCTGGTACAGGACAAAACTGAAGCTCTCTGTCTGGGTAGGGGCACCAAAACCTCAAACTCTAAAGTGAAGGCCACATCACGTGAAATTCTTGCACAGGATAGCTCTGGGCAGAGGAATGCAACAAAACCTGGAAAACTGAAGATGGCAGAAGTACCCACTTTGAAAACTTAGACACATTCAAGTGTCTGAGAAACAAGGATGGCATATTGAGTTCAGGGGTCCTTGAACTGGCTGGAGGTCCTACCTGGTGATCCCAGAAATTCAGGTAGTCTGTCCTGAGTCTGATTTTGCCCAAGTGTCCTCAGAGGAACTCTTGAGAATGTAATCATTTCTACTGTTTTGCCTGAGGGTAGGGATGGGAGAGAAGGGAGTGTCCCGAAAGGCATTCTAGAAGAACCTAGAATGACAGGACTGCAGTAGCAGAAATGCCTCTCAGGAAATATACAGTGGTATTCCTTATTCACACTTCCTCACACCCTCCCCTCCACTAATGCCCCCCAGATGGCATGGACTAGGGCACTGGATATCCTTCAAACTCGACCAGAAATTATCTCAGTCTAACACAACATAATGAAACTGCTTCCTTTTATTATTAACTACTTTTACTAGCTGGTAGTAGAATTTGTCTTGCACAAGATCTATCTTTGTTGGGTCAGACCATTTGGGGAAGGGGAATACCTGTGGCGTCATGTATGTTGGCTGGTACCATGGCTTCTGCAAAATCACCCTGGGTGAGATGAGATGCATGAGACACTCCTGAAGTAGAAGAGGAAGAAGAACCGGAAGGGAGAAACAGAGAAGAAAGAAGAGTCAGTGGAATGATGGGTGGATGTGTAGTGACAGAGGAGATAGCTTCTCAAATTCTCACCAAAACTGCTAAACCCATGAAGGCTTAGGAGTGGTTTTGTGTCTGAATTAATAGGTTACAAAACAATATACATGCAGAAGTAGGAGCTAGAGAGCGATGCAATAAAAAAATCTACTAAAGGGTCAAAATGTCAAAAGCAGCTATGGAGAGGTGACAAGAAAACCAAGAGAAGATGCAAAGGTAAGCAAGTGTCCTGCCAAGCACAGGAAAGTGCTTGTGCTTGTGCACGCATGCAGCCGTGCACACCATCACCACTATCAATACTGGCTGAACTTCTACTATGTGCCAGGTACTGTGCTATGCTGTGAAACACCACGGTGAGCAAAGCCAGAGTTCTTGCTCTCCTGGCGCTTGCATGCTAGTGGGAGAGACAGACATTGATCAAGTAAGTGCACAAAAATTTGTGAAATTGCAGTTGGGAGAAGCGCTGTGAAGAAGGGGTACCTGGTATTATGAGAGAACATAACAGAGAGATTGGCCCAGGCAGGGGGATCAGATCTTCCCGAATAAGTGATGCTTGATCTCAGCACTGAGAGATGAGAATACATTAACTGGGTAAAGAAAGGAGAGAAAATCAGCCCACGAAGAAGAATATGTATAAAGGCCCTTGATGGCAGGTTTGAGGACTGAAAGAAGGGAAACTGTGGCCGAGGCACGGACAGCCTAGGGAGAATGGGCAGCCTGCAGCTGGAAGGCTGGGAGGGGCCAGGCTCCTCAGGGACTGCAGACCACATGATGGAGCCAGTCTCTGTCTCAAGAGCAGTGGGAACCCACTGAAGGGAGATTGACAGGAACCCCTCACCCACCCAAAAAAGCCTCAAAATGGTAAATGAGACCCCTGTTTATACTTTATCCCCACTTTTCTCAGCATCTCCACTGACTATCAATTTGGCTTAGCCTCAATAACTTAGCATGCCCAAAATCAGAAAGAAAAAAAAATTTAAACATTGTTAACTTAGTCATTTCATTTAAATAAACAGTATTTTTAAATTAATTTTCCATCACCACACAAGAAAAACCCTAAATTTTGACCCACCATTGAAACAAATGCCCAGTGTATAAATTCATAATTTGGTATTTGATCTTTAGTTACTTTTAAAAATATTGGATTAGGAGTCAAACAGCCTAAGATCTAATTCTGACTCTGTCACTCACTAGTCACATTATCTTGGGTAAGTCCCCAAACCTTCATTGGTCTGTTTCCTCACCTATAAATAGGGATAATAAATTTGCCAAACAGACCCTACAAAATTAGAGAGCCTTCTGTAATAGAGCAAAACAGCAAATAACAATATTATTATTAACCTTTCTCTAAATTACAGAGGCAAATACACAACATATTCCATTCAGATAATGTTTCTTTAACTTCACATATCAAACTGTTTTGCAATATTGTTATAAAACAATGCTTAATCTTGAAAGTCACTGCCCTCTAACACATTATAAAACTACATCTTGTGTACATAAAACCACCCAGAGGGAGAGTCTTTGATTAGGAAATTTTTGTTTCATTTTATTTGAGCACATTAAAAGATTCAGTTCAAGTTTTATCACCAATGTTTTATATCTACTTTTAAAAGGAAAAGGATATATGAAATATGCCCAGCTCCTAAAAAGAGAAGTGCATGTTAAAACTATATAATATGCTATATCCTACCCATCACATTGGCAAGATGTCAGCTCTTGAAGAAACAGTCTGCTGAACAGATTTTGAGAGAAAATGAACACTCTCAGTCACTACTGGTGGGTACAAAATGGTACAATTCCTATGGCAGGGAATTAGGCAATATCTAGCAAAACTACATATGCATTTACCCTTTGGCCTAGAAATCCCACTCCTAGAAATTTACCCTGAAAATACACCTCTAACAATACAAGAAAACACATGCACGAGGTTGTTCACTGCAGCATTGTTTATAACTGCAAAATACTGGAAACACCCGACAGGCCCATATGTAGGAGTTTGGTTGAATAAACTACAGTACATTTACTTAATAGAGTATTAAACAGCTGGAAAATTAAAAAGTGCAAAACATTTCTACAAAATAGCATAAACTGATTCTCAGAATATATTATTATTAAGTGAAAAAAATGTAAGCATGCTACATTTCATATATATTTTACATACATTTATTCACTTATTTTTACAAAGAAGAAACAGAAAAGTTAACCCAAAAAACAAATGAATTTGGTTACCTATGGTGGCTGGGGCAATGGAAAAAAAAAGAGATGGAAAGGGGAACTATGCAACTACAATGTTTTATATAGTTTTGGGTTTTGAACCATATTATTAGCATTTTACATATTAAAAAAAAAATTAAGTCAACAAGATGGGGGTGGGGGTAGAAAGACCTGAAAGTGAAAGAAATAAAATTGATTATAAGCACAACTGCAAAGAAAAAAGAGTCCAAAAAACATTTGAACCTACGGTATTCTGACTATCCACTTTCAGTGAGATATATTCTAAGGACAAAAAAATAACTTGAACTTGGTAGGCTTGTTTTTGGTAGTGATGGCAATTGCAGGACCGAGCAAATGAGTAAATATATCACTGGTGTTTTGAGGAAGCAGGGAGTTACTTGTGGAAGAACAAGGACACAAAAATGGAACAGCAGGAGAGAAAGGACCCTATACTACTGAACTGGGTATCAATCAGAGCTATCATTATGAACCAATGGTTTTTAAAACATGCTTCCTAGTTGTGTCTGTAGAGAGGACCTAAAAGCAATTTCAGCCAAGATCAGTGAGTACACATGGCACCCAGGTCTTGCTTTCCAAACACCATTTCCCAAACCCTTTGGGAAAATGCCTAATTTCAAGGTGCACCTGGAACATCTTCTGCCAGAAATCAAGGAAGTGCTCAAAACTGAGGTAGATATGTCAAGATGATACAACCAGTTTAAGGGGCTGCTACTTGCCAAATTTGGGACAATTGAGCATCAAAAAAGATGATAGGAACAGATTATAACCCACCTAAAAAAATAGAATCCATGACCACACTGGTATTTTTTTTAATTTTTTAAATTTGGAGAAAGCCAAAGATAGAAGAATGCCAACTAGTAAACATAGAAGGGATGATAGAAATAGAAAATACAACTAACATAGTAATATTTGATTTCAGGAGTGAATCATCATTGAATACTAAAACCACTGGGAGAAAGATGGGGAACAGAATATTCACACAGCCCAAAGTATCACATCCCATGTTATTTATTAATTTCAAAGTGGGAAAAGGGAATCTTTATGATGAAGAAATATGTTAGCTAGTACCTTAACCAAAAGATCAAACTTACCTTCATTAAAACAACATTTTTGGCCCTGGCTGGTGTAGTTCAGTGGAT